CCCCCCCTCCCCCCCGCCCCCCCCCCCGCCGCTGCTGCCTCCTCCTCGCTCGCTCGCTCGCGCAGGCAGCCAGGGAGGGAGGGAGCCCCGCTTCCGCCGCGCCGCTCCCCGCTCTGCCCCTGCCCCTGCCCTGGCCGCGGCTCCTCGCTGCGGGCGGCGGCCCCGTCCCCACCCCTGCTTCTGCCTCCGAGTTTCTCTTTCTTTTCCCCTTCCGAGCTGCTGCCTGGGAGTGGAGTCTGCGCCCGGGCCTGCGCCAGGAGGAAGACAGCCGGCGGCTCGTGAAGAGGGACCTTCCGCCGCGCCGCTCCCCGCTCTGCCCCTGCCCCTGCCCTGGCCGCGGCTCCTCGCTGCGGGCGGCGGCCCCGTCCCCACCCCTGCTTCTGCCTCCGAGTTTCTCTTTCTTTTCCCCTTCCGAGCTGCTGCCTGGGAGTGGAGTCTGCGCCCGGGCCTGCGCCAGGAGGAAGACAGCCGGCGGCTCGTGAAGAGGGACCATTTGAGGGAGGATTTTTTCTTGGAGGACGACTTTCAGGGACTCGGAGAGGAGCCTGAGCGTGAATCCCCGAGGAAGGTCGTCTTCCCCCCGCGCAGTGAGTGGAGCTGCCAGACCCGGGACACTTGCTGGATCTTAAATTCTCCTGTTTTTTCTTACGTGTTTTAAGAGGCTTGATGTCACCAGATCTGAAACGCCCGATGCTGAAAGTGGTCCTGGGTCAAGAGATTACTCGCCGAATTTGAATGATTTTTAAAACCAGTTTTCTTGAGCGAATACGGGAGAATTAAAACAAAAATGATGCTGAGGTGAAGGGTCCTTCCTTGGGAGCTGAAAGGTTTGCTGGTAGATTTCCTGGAAGCCGGCACTGGGGCTGTGAAGGAAAGGTTGCAGAATGGGACTGCCCTAATCTGGAAGCTGCTCTGTTTTTCTCTTCAGGTAAAATGGGTTGTGAATGATCCCAGCCTGGTGTGGCAGCCAAGGCTCCTTCCTATACGCATTAACCTCCTTCTTTTCTGCCATTCTTATAGTTCCTACCCAGCCTTCCTCTGGGAAACTCCATATGATCAGACTGGCATCTAGGATGTGTAAAGACTGCAGGACTGAGCCATGAAGACACCGAGCAGTTGGGCATATGGTGTTGTGCTCCTGTCAGCTCTGGATGGACCTCTTTTCCGTAAGGGAGTTCTTAGAGAGCCATGCACTGGTCCTGCATCCATGCACTTGAATCCTGCCTGGCTTCTGTGTCATTTGTGTGTTCTGTGGCTACCACAGATTCAAATGCGTCTCTTTAAATTAATAAAATGATCCAGTTCATAATGCTGGAGAGGAAAATGATGACTCAAAATCCATTCTAAGACTTTGTGTGCTTCTGGGTGCAGACTGAGAGAGATGTGATTAGAGAATATTGTGATTTACTTCTAAATATGCTAATTTTATATGAATAAATCTATATGTACATTTTATAGACACAGTTAATTTAAGCCACATTTCTCTTGAAAACTTGTTGACTGCTATTATTAATTAAAAATAACATGTAATCCTGAGTTCTGTAAATACCCATGTGTTTAACCTCACTGTTCACCAGAGCTACTCATGCTAGCAGAATTAAGCATTTATAGACAAAAGGCCTAATAATGCTTTAATTAAAAGGTAAGAGGAGTAAACTCTTGCCCGTGCCTTCATTTGGTTTAGTTTATGAATGTAGCAGTCCTTCATATAGTTGCTTGTACACAGTTAATTCTAGGAATCCTTGTCTGTAGGCAAAATATGGAACTTGTTGATCCTTAGGCCCCAGGACTTCATATTGTTGCACACATTCTTAGTGTAAGTCAGCTGAGATGTTGTTTTTGTAATTTTAAGCATGGAGAATCAGGGTGCATCAGCTTCCCCTCTTATTTATGCAGAATTTTTTGCGCAGGCAGGAAGAAAAGCAGGAATAAGGAAATCTGATTATAAAACCATAAATTTAGCACAAGGACGCAAGACCAAGTGTAATACCTACCTCAGTCTACTTTCTAACTTTGTATTACTGCAAGATTCAAGTTGATGGAATCTCTAAATGGTTTTACTAATTACCTTCATGATTAAATATTTAAAAAGAAAGTTATAGAATGGAATAAAGTGATTTGCACTAAATGCAACTTTCTTTTTCAGTATCATGTCTTTCCAACATAAAGTGTGGCTATCTAGTGTAAATGACATGGTAATAAAATGCACCCCTGTGCCTCTGTTAGATTTCTATCATAAGCTTAACTAAGATTGAGACTGGCCCTTTTTTCATACTTCATCAGCCATGTTTAATCAATTAGTATTACTATTTAATCAGAGTATTACCTAGGAAAGCAGTCATTTTTATTATATTATTATCTGTATCAGACAAGTTATAAATAATTTCATAGATTTCATAGACATTTGGGCTGGAAGGGACCCCGGAGGATCATCGATTCCAGCCCCCTACATTTGAGGCAGTGGTTGCTTTGAAAGTTATGATATACAAAATTAAGCTCTTTAAATGAAAAATAACTTTTATAATTATCTACAGCAATTATTACTCTGTATTAACTTGTACAAAGTAAGACCCCTCACAATCCTGTAATCTGATACACACAAGCTAGATAACAGTGACTCATTGTCTCTATTTTGGGGCTCCACGTAGGCACAAGAATGAGGGTTCATGTATGTATATACAAAACAATTCAATATGCAAAAATTCATCACACCTTGCATGCATGATGTCCAAAAAGGAGAAAGATTATGGTATCATAGAAGTTCTAAAAACAAAATATTAGAAAATATGATAAACTAAAGGCTAGTTTACAGGTCTGAACCTTGTTCTTCCTGTAGGCCCCTGGCCTGCAAGTGAATCACAAGTTTGGCGAAATAATTTTATGCACAGAGCTGATAAGTTCATAACCTCATTCTACTCTCTTTGAAGTCAAGTGAAGGCAGTTAAGAATGTATGTTTTCCTCCAACTGTATTATTATCTTTGCTGTAAATCTAAACTATATGGAACATCAGTTAACTCTCATAATATTTCTTGTATTTTTTCAAAGTAGACTGATACTTCAATATTTTTACAAAATAGTCAGAAACAAGAGATTATACACACAAGAAATAACAGAGAGAAAATATTTCTTTCAAGGATAAAAGAAGAAAGCTTGAGTCATAAATGTTTTACTACTGTTTTTTACTACCAGGTGAAATAAACTTGCAAGAAGGATGTATAAAATTGTATCTATAAATCTACTATTCAGAAGCAGAGAATACTTTTTGGCCTCTTGGATTTTAGGGTAAGTCCCCAGATATTTAGTTTATGAAGCTGAATAATTAGTTACGGGCAATGTGCAGTCTGGCATTTAAAAATATCCAATATCCATGTTTTCATAGACTCTGATGTACGCACTTATATTATCTGATTGCTTGTTAGATTGTTAATATTTATATTTCTCAATCTTTTCTATTTATGCCTGGATAGGTTTTAGTATAATCAAGTTCCTCTCGTTTTAAGCTTTGCTTGCTGTACAACTTCCTATATAACTAACAGTTAAATATATATTTTAACTGTGAGCTATTTCTTATTTCTTTGTGGCCAGAATTTTTTAAGGATTGTCTATGATATAACTGTATAATTAAAAGAGTCTTTAAAAAATGGCTATACTTTAAAAAATGGCATTTTAAAAATGTTGTATGCATTTTTGGGAGATAAGTGTATATTGATACACTGTAAAGTGAGTCGCATAGGATCCTAAATTTAATGCATCAAACTTACTTAGATTTTGGTGTTAAGTCTTGGTTTCGACCATGAATAAGAGAGGCAATGATGAATGCTGTCTGCAAAAAATATAAATATAATATCATGTTTTCTGCATTGATTTTTATCCACAGGAGCAAATAATTGCACCATATAATTGATTCATTGGGGAATATTCAGCATGAGAAGTGAATAACCTTAAGATCAAGTTAAGTCTAAAGTGAAGCAGATAAAGAAAAAAAATGAAATAATTTGCAGCTTGTAAAATAAAATATTTGTATACTTATTTGTTTTGCATGTTTGCAACCTGAGGGTGACCATTTATTTTATCTGATGTGGGAAATGTGCATAAAATCCTATCCCATTGCAAATTTCCCTATACTTGTTCTTTGACATGATTCAGGAGTAGAAACTCTGATGTCATGGAACAATAATATTAGTTTTCTTTCCCTCTAAAGCAGTGAATCGCAACCAGGATGCCTTGAGTTCCTTTCAGGGATGCTGCAGAGAGCCACACAAAATTAGCACTGTTAGGAGTGAAAACATGATTCACAAGATAAACCCAGACGCATCAAATAATGATCCATAATGTTAAAAATATTTTGAACTGTTAGCTTTCTATGCACCAGAAGAATTTCTTTTGTTATTTTTCCATAGTCAAAAAAGCAACTGAAAGTGAAGAACTGGCATTTTCCAAGGGGTGCCTACAGTCTAAAAAGGTGAGTACCACTTATACTCTGTTGGCTTGTTCTGTTTTCATACCCAAAAGTCAGACTCCAAATTGGTTCCAGCCTGTAGATATCCACAGACAGATTGTTTCTACATAAAAGCATTCACAAAGTCAACACCTCCAACTAGCCAAGTGTCAGCCTTCTGAGTGGGCTTCAACAACAGCCCAGGTAGAACATATTAAAGTAATCTAATATTGGGGTCATAAAGGCATGGGCAATGGTAGCAGGGCCCATAATAGGGATAAGTGTTCATACTAATCTTAAAAGATGCAGATGAAAAAAGTGTTTTGCTACTTGATGGAAATTTGAAATCTAAAAAAAAAAAGAGGATTTAAAGGCATGGTCTTTTCTATGAATGTGCTGAATCATACATAGTTCAGCACTTGCCTCTTAGGCTAGGGACAGAAATTATCCATAAACAGATAAAACCAATTCAAATCTGTAACAGAAGTTTAGTGCACATAAACCACTTTCAAGGTGGCCAAAACTGGTTTAAGATAAACCTGGATGGATATAGTGTCAGACTTAACTGATTTAGGTCAAATCAGTTTATTGAACTTCTGTCCCAGATCCCCTCCAGATTCAAGTTAACTCAGTCTCCCATCATCCCAGGATGCTTTGTACCTCCCACCCCCACCTTACAGGGTGGGCAGAGTAGGCTTGGCCCAAGCTGTCTGTTCTGGCCAAGCAGAGAGGTGTGGCTGTCTTCTGGCCTGAGCCACTGCTGGCATGTCGTTACATTTCCACAATCAAAAGTGAATGGCTGTTCACTTGCTCATCAGTTCAGTCTACACATCTTAGATTAACCTGTGAAAATTGAATTGATTTACCCTTGGGCTTTTTGACTATATGTCCATAGCCTTAGGAACTGAGTTCCAGATGTCACTTCCTTGTCAGAATTTTTCCTGGGCAGGCATTGTGAAGCTACATGCTGTCTGTGTTTGATGGTAAAGACACAGAACTCCGCATCAGTTGTATATCAAAAAAGAAAGAAAGAGTTTCAAGTCCTGTGGACATTATTAGCCCATGAGAGAAATCTTAAATCCCATCAGTGGGTATTTATGAGAGGTAAGGACAAAAGCATTCAAGCAATTTTCTTTATTTTGTTACAGCGTGCAGGTGAATCAACACAACTTAATGATCAAGGATTTGTAGAATCAGGACGGATATTTGACTTCTGATCATTGTCAAAAAAAGATGGAAGTCAGCAAAATCAGTGGGTTCTCCCTAGCCTGAAAATTACACTGATAATTGTGCGGGCCGGGAGCGGTCCGAGGCCCTCGGGGGCTTTCGCGGCGGGCTGTGGCCAGGAGCCCTGGCCCACGGGTCGGGGAATGCAGGCCAGCGGGCTAGAATTAGGCATGGACGCTTAGCGGTTGATTAAAGATTATTTTACTTACACCGAAGATGGTCGCGGTGCAGGCAGGAAAACTTGCTTGAGTTGCGGTTACAGACAGAAAAGAAGAGAGGCGGACAAGAGTTCCATCCACGCGAACCTCTAGCCCAATCCGGTTGAAGGCTCTAAACACGCGAGCCCGTCGCGTCAACCGAAGAAAACAACTCAGAGAAAGAGCTCTGGATACACTCACACGAAGTTTGCTAGGCTCCGTGGAACTTGCGCGCAGGGAAGGGGTTTGTCGAGGGATCGTTCGGCGACAGGGAGAGGCCAGAGGTTGATCAGACCCCTATAGCTTCCTTGAGATACACGCTAGGTCCAATAGGCTCCGCAGCGCTTAGAGATCTTCACAAGACGTGAAGTTCTCCTCCTCCAGATGGTTGTGGAGTCCTCCAACTTGGGCGGAAACCGCTCAAGCCTCTTATACGGCTAGCAAGCCAATCACTAGCCGCCACGTGGGAATAATTTAGAACTGGCCAATAGTGGGACACAAATTTGTGTGCGAATGGCAGGAACTCCTTTGCATCGTGCATTTCTCTTTGCAACTAAGAAATGCACCCTGCAAAGAAAGCTCCTAGTGGCGGGAAATAATTTAGCGGTGCCGAAGCGCGCACACATCAAATCACACCTTTGGGTTGTGACAATAATGATCAATAAAATCTGAGTACTCAAGGCCATGGTTCTATTGCCTAGCTAAAGCTTTCTTAATAATAAACTTTTCAGCAAAAGGAAGTTTCAAAATGGCAATGATGGCTTTAATTGCCCACAGATAGAAAAATTCATGAGTATGGAATACTTTATTTTGTAGGGAGGTGTTAACTAAATCAAACAAGAGACTCGATGGGCATTTTTACATATCTATGCATTGTAGTGCCGGGCACTTTGGAAAGTGCCCAGCACTGTGACGCATACAGTTGTATAAACAGCAAAATGCACATCAGCGCTGAGAAAATGGCAGCAGCTCGCTTTTGAACTAAAACACTTTAGAGGTGCTTTAGTTCAAAACCTCACTGCCGCCATTTTCTGCATGCTGATGCGTATTTCAGCACTTCTGCAACTGCATACTTATACAGTGCAGTGCAGTTTGCCTCAGCTTGTGTGTGGAGCAGACTTGATTAATTGCCCAATGTGGTCTCAATATAGAGATCACCTAGGACTGAGGGGAAACAAAAATTGGTGTGTTGTTCTCTCTTGTGAAAAATTGCATTCCATACTTCATTTTGTTTTATTGAAGCAAACCAGCCCTTATTGATTTAGTCAGTATTTTGGCTGAGAAAGCTGGTTTGATTTTTAGCTATTAATGAATAGAACATTCTTAGTTTATGCAGAGGTCTATCCTACTTAGTAGCTTAAACCAAACTTGTATTCAAGATTGTTGAGTCTCTTTTCTTTTGGATATGAACTAATGGAGAGGTGATACTTAAAACAGAATTGGAAAATACTCATTGTGCAATTTAATAGAGTAAGCACTAATAGTTTTTGTAAGATTCCTTTGCATAATAACTGCAACATTCACATTTTATTAATAAAGAATTTTGAATATACTTTCCTCTAAAAATAGTGAAAAATAAAGGAGAAAGCAAGAAAGAAAAACATAAATAAAAGTACTTTAAAGCATATTTCCATAAAGCTGCAGAACATTTCTTACAAGGTTTTTATAAGGACTTCCTTCCAGATTCCATGAAGTAATTGTACACAGATTTATGATCTGAATCTCAGTAGGACTAAGGACAGAAAGATCAATCCTGCCAGAACTTCAACCAGGCCTCAAAAGATACACAGGTACTTGGATAGTAAGCCTAGAGGTAGTGTTAACTTGTCACAGATTTCACATCTTAGAGACTGATTTCAAACTGCACCTTCTGAGGCACAGAACTTGAGAAATTGGGAATTAATAACTGGTTTCTCTTTTTTTTTCTCATCTTTTTCATAGGGATAGTAAGAGATTTGGAGAATTAGACAGTAAACAGGGAAACTGAAGAAGTAAATTTAGCACTTTTCGTGCTCTGTGTGCTTCTGCAGTACTTCTCTCCTGAAGTGCATACTGGACCATTTAATGAGTGTCTACTTTTGAGACTACAGCATGGCAACAGGGAAGAAATGTAAGATAAAAGTTACTCTCAATTATCTCCTTTGGGCAGAAACAAAATAGGGAAGAAACATACTGGTAGTTCTGGTGTGTAAACATAGGATTAAAAAGGCCATCACGAGGAACCATGTGTGTGAAGTATCCACAAAATTATCCACTCTAACCGGTCTCTCTCACTTCATCCACAAAGACCAGATGGAGAAAAAAAATAGGGTCCTACTTAATTTGCAGTTTCACAGATTTTGCAGAAACCTCAAAATCCAGGATTGTCTGTGAAGTCTGCAAAATCAACAACAACAACACTTAAAAAAACTTAATAAAATGTTGGCTCCCTAGTGGGAGCCAGCAGTCCTTGCGGCCAGGAGTGGAAAGTGCCAGCTGACAAGGCAACATGAAGAGCAGCAGACAAGATGGCAGCTGATCCCTCATCCTTCCTCCCCCTGCCAGGCCCTTTCCACCCATCAGCACCACGGGGCAGGGTTACATGAAGGGCAGCCAGCAATCAAGAAGGTGGCTGCCTCCTAATCCCTCCTTCCCCCTGGGGGCTTCTCTGATGATCAGCACTGAGGGGTGGGGCAGGGCCTCTCAGTCTGCGCCAAGGGGCATGGCCACCACTAAATGACTGTGATGTTAGAACTTTACACCGCAATCAACCTACAAAAACTGGTAAATCCCCCTGTAATTTAGGTAAATCCCTAAAAAAAACCAAAAAACTCTTCACCATATAGAGGGCAGTGAAAATGGTTTGTGGGGTTAGGGCACATCATTTATGATGAGAGGCTGAGGGAACTGAGCTCATTAATCTGGAGAAGTGAAGACTGAGGGGGGATTTAAAAGCAGCCTCCAACTACTTGAAGGGGGGATCCAAAGAGGATGGAGCCAGACTGTTCTCAGTGGTGGCAGATAACAGAGCAAAGAGCAACAATCTTAAATTGCTGTAAGGAATGTTTAGTCTAAATATTAGGATAATCTTTCTCAAGAGAAGTGTAGTGAAGCAGAGGGGTTGTGTAATCTCCATCCTTGGAGGTTTTTAAGACCTGGCTAGACAAAGCCTTGGCTGGGATGATCTAGTTGGAGATGAACCTGCTTTGAGTGGGAGGTTGGACTAGATGACCTCCCGAGGTCCCTTCCAACCCTAATTTTCTGTCATTTTATGCCATGGAAAGAGCAGGGAAACAAGGGCACTACCAATGCCTGCCACTGCTGTGGCAGGGAATTTGTTACAATAATATGTGCTAATCCTAATCCTAGGAAGAAAACTATAACCTATGCCACAGAGAAAGTGGGGGGAGACTTTACCAATCTGATCTGAGACTCTGATCTCACATTTGTGTGTAGATTTATCTACATACATGTATAGACTGGGAATAAAATTATTTCTTGATCCCAATCTGGTTATCATTTTTATTATAAATGTATTAACTGTTCAGCTAT